GTTTTGCGGTCTCCAGCTGGTGTCTGACCTTCGTAATTGCGCATGTTCTTGAGAGCTCCAGTTGTAAATGATTGTAGGATGAAGAGTCTCTCAGACTGCTTGAGGGTAGTCTTCACGGTCACGAACCGAATCTGTGGTACGAGTCGAATCGGTCGATTTGAGGGAAGAGACTGAAAGCCTGTCGTCTTCCATAGGGGCTGTGGCATAATCTTTGCGGAAGCGGTTCAGACCTTCTTCGAACTCTTGGTCTCTCTTCGATTGAGATTGGAATTGGAATTGCTGGTGGAGCTTGCTGGAACATCCAAGGGTTGGGGAAGTAAGCATAGGCTGAGGAGGGTAGTTCGGGAAGCCTTGTGGTGGGTAGTAACCTTGAGGTGGAAATTGGTAGTAATTTGGTGGAGGGACTTGCTGAACTGAGGTTGCTGAGGTGCAGGGGCTGGTGCTTTAGGTTCCTCTGGTTTGGGAATGGGCTCGGTTGGTGGTACGTCGGACATCTGTTTGTGGCTTAACCGTCGGAAGGAAAAACCTTTCCTGTCGGAAGGAAAAACCTTTCCTGTGAAGGAAAACCTTTCCTGTCGGAAGGAAAAACTTTTTTCTGAAGTTCGACCAAAAGTTCTCAATTTTCGAAAATTTGAATGGTTTACGGACGGACAACTGGAAGAGTCCTTCCTGTCGTCGGGAAAATTTTTTCCAGTTGTCGGGAAAATATTTTCCTGTCGGATGGAAGGACTCGGAATACCAGAAGGATTTGACGAGGCAATTTACCTTATAGAGATAAATGAAGTTGTTTAAGCAAGTACTTGCGCAGGGTAATGAAGCCCAAGGTCAAGTTCACCACTATTTCTGGAAGGTCTACACTTCAGCTCGAGACTTCGACTGGAATTCCAATTCAAATACCAGACGGGACAGCCTACGATGGCATAAAGGACGCCAAAAGAGAAGCTCTTGTTAAGTTCCTAAACAAACGTCCTTGGATAAAAAATACCAAACAAGGAGAACCCCCTACCCCATATGAAATTGGCAATTCAGTCTCTCCTTCACTTCTCGGGTCAGCCGTTCTACATAACCTGTGAAGGCGACATCCAACCAGTTCAGTTCAACCTTAACGTTTTGAGTAAAAACATTTTTTTTCATTTTTTGAATGAAGCAAGTTAAATTCGTCCCACACCAATCTCAATGGACCGAATTGAAGAGTTTCAAGCCATGGTGTTGAAGACGTTGAGAACGACATAGACGGCGAACTTGAAGGAGCTCAAATCACAATTGCAACCAAAATTGCAGGAGTCAAGGAACAGATAGCTCCACTTAAAGCTACCAAAGCTACTCTTGACCTCATGGATAGTTACCGTTTAGATGTCAAGAGTGGAATAAGACATTTTAAAATTAAAACTTCTAAACTACGAAAGCTATACTCCAAAAGTTAGCAGAAATGAGAAGACTTTACCAGAGCTACTTACATGTAAGGGACTTACCTTCAAGCAGTCCGACCAAAGATGAATTTTCTGACATTGTCCCAATTTTGTCCGAAAGTCAGCTCAGATGTTTTGAACTGCTCCCAACATATCCGGAATATGAACGTTTGCCTGACTCTTCCGCAATCTCAAAAAACGTTTTTTGGTTCTCATGTTCGAAACTTTTATCGGAAGAGACAACAAACGTTCAGAAGAAGACAAGATATTATTTAAACTTGTTGTATGACATAACTGTCATAACAAGCTTTTTGAAGTAAAACCGCCATTCTCAAACCACTTCATTTTTCGATGTCCGAACAAGCACCGAAGCCGAACACAATAGCAGATGTCCTTTCAAGGTTGCCAGACAAGCGCCCAGTTCAAATTCAAATTGCCCAATTGAAAGCTCATCTGACAAACACCATTAAGACTCTCCAAAGTAGTCTTATGACAGAGATGACCAATCTCAAAGTCGAAGTCCTCACGAACCAAGCTTTCCAATGAGAAATGCCTGAACGATTTCACGAAACCTTGCACATTTACGCGAGAGAGAACCGAGACCTTGCCAGACTCATCTACCGTTTCTTCGAAGAGATAGACGCCATCTGGAAGGTACTCGGAAAGGACAGAACATGCAACACCCGTACTTCGTGAACACAGAATTGCCGAAGGTATTATCAAAGAAGAGGAAGGAGGAAGAAGAGGAAGAAGAGGAAGAAGAGGAAGAAGAGAAACACGAAGAAGTTCCTGAAGCCGCTACATGGGCAACCCTTGTTGCGATGACGGTTACGAAATTTCCCAACCCTACCCATACCAAATCCGCAACAGGGAGACCGGCAAGGTTCTTACCCCAGTCCTCAACAACTTGGGACACTTGAACCTTAACCTTCGGATCGCGGTTCAATCTCCATGGGCAAGCTTGTCGCAATTCAATGGGTTCCAAATCCAGGCAAGAAGACGAAGGTCAGACACATTGACGGTGACAAGCTCAACAACCGTAAGGAGAACCTCGAGTGGTTCTAAGAGTAAAAAAATTTTATTTTAGGGGGAAACCCCAAGTAAATTTAGGTGTTTATTTGGATAAGTATGTTAAATTAAGGGTAATTTGCAAAATTAGTTCCCTACCTTTGAATTGGGCTCTTTCGTTATCCCAGTTGCGTAGGAGGTCGTCCCAGAGGAGTTGGTAGAATTGCCAATCCAAGGACGATTTGTCCTCCAGGCTTGAGGATGTACTGCTCGTAGAGTTTCATGACCTCTGCCTTGCACCAGACACCCTCTCCCTTTGGAACGTAAGGCTTCTTCGAAGTGCTCGAATGCGATTGGCTGCGTGACCATCCGAAATGACACTTTTTTGTCCGTTTGGTCAATGTTTGTGTCTCGTGCCATAGTCGATGAAAATACAGACAAACAGGTATATATATGAGTTTTGAGACCAAGAATGGTGTAACTCGACCTGTCCGATTCAAAGACTCCGAGGGCGACCATGAAATTAAACGGAAATTAGCTAGGAAGGAATATAAAATGGACTGGTTGCCCCACCTCCACCTCCACCACCTTTACCTGTTCCTCAAGTAAATAAGCCTTTCCCGTTCCCAAGAATTCCCACATTTTAATTCAAATTCGAATAAAAATTTTTTATTTCATGCAATGTTTTATTTCTGTGCCGTCTTCAAGTATGCCCCAGTACTTACGCTTGGAGAGGACATGAACTTCGGTGAAAATTTTGTCCAATTTGAATTGACCCATCTTTTCACCGACCATGCCCATTTCAATGATTTGTTGTACCCTTCTTCGTTCGTCATGAGTGCGTCAATGTTCTCATAGTAAACCACAACTTTCGATTTGACTTCGGAGAAGAATTTGTTGTAGTTGTCAAGGACTGCCTTTGCGAACTGAGGGGTAAGACCAATGTTCGACAATAGGTTTTAATGTGGTTACTAAGCCACTTTGACCTTGAGTGAATTCGTACTTCAAAACAAAAGGAGAAAACCTTTCAACAAAGTTGTCGACCTTCTCATAATGTTTACTCTTCATCTCTTGAGGTTTTTTAATGGAATATCCCCATGTCGAATTCATAAGCAATTTCAGTGTCATTGCGAGTTTGGGGTTTGAAGCTTTCCTAATATCATAGAGTTGTTGTATGACTTTTCCAACTGTATAGTTCCTTCCTGGGAACTCTCCATCTTCGTTTGGAATTCCAGTCGGGATATATTGGACGAACCTCATGTACGCAGCGTTAAGGTCGACATAGTATATCTTTTCATCTGAGTCGAACTTGTCGCAACCAATTGGTCCAGTTTGTGGAAATTCAAGTGAGTCTCTTATCTTCTGAGAAACTTCTCCTGTTATCTCATAAACATCGTCGAAGCAACCTGTTTCATATAAAACCTTCTGACCTAACTCAGATGCTCTCCAATACAATTTGACGTCAATTGGATGTCTCAATGGAAGTTTGTTTATAGCATCTTGAAGTTCTTGCAACCTCATTGGAAGTTCTTCTGGTTCAGGTTGGTATCCGAACAATCCAACTCCTTGTGGAATTGTGTACTTCTTTTGTACTAGAACTTTGTCTGGAACAACTTTTGGTCTTGCTAACAGTGAAAAGTTTGTTTCGTCTTTTGGTACAAAAGTTTCTGTCAGCTTGTCATCTGGAATTGGTTCCAACAAACCTTTCTCGAAAAGAATGTTTACAGCTCTGACAATGTTGCACTTGCCTTTTCCGAACAATGGGTTTGTAAGACTTTCGTTCAACATGAAGTGGTTGTGGACAATTACAATCTTCAACCATGGTAAATTGAACTCAACAACATAGTCGTCATGTGAAGAACCTTTAGCTGTAGGTATGTTGACTCGGATATTGACATTTGCCAACGGTGCAATTTTTGCCAATTGACCTCTGAGAATGTACCTTGTCTTCACACATGACTCAAGATACTTCATCTTCTCTTCTGTAACAAGACCAGAGTTCCTGAGACATGTAAGAATGCAAGGTTCATTGACAATTGTTTCAATTGAATTGTAAATTCCATACCTTGTCAAGTCAATGTCAGACTTATTTATGAACGGGAAGTATCCAGCATGTTGTCTGACTGCTTGAGGGTTAGGTTGGTACCATTCGAACTTGACACTTGCAATTCCTTCAATTGCATTCAAAATGTCTGAGTCGGAGTCAACCATTTGTTCTC